CCGTGTGCTGTTTTTTTGCCCCCTGCTGCGGCCGCAGCAGCTGCTGTTGTTGCTACCAGAGCAGCATCCGGACATGGTGGCTGTGGGGTAGGCAAAGCTGGAAGGGACACAGAGAGTTCTTGTGATACGGACTAAGCTTTTCCTCTGCCTGGATTTCTGAGTAGTTTATGCAGGTTAAATCATGATTATCCCTCAGGACATCCCAAGCTGGCTTGGGATTGCCTTGCTGCCTTGGCTCCCATGTCAACCCATTCCTGAGTTCTCCACATTACCCCCTAGTGCCTTTGACATATTCTCCAGCACCGGTTCCATTAGGAAGAAACCACCCAAGTGGTTCAAAATCAGTTTCAAATCAGCCAGTGTAGGAAATCATGGCTGTTTTCCTGCAAAAGCACACAGAAATGCAGTAGAAAGCCCAAGAAAAAGCAGGCAACAAGCTCCGACTTACCCTGTTCACTAGCGAGGAGAAGAGAGGAGAAGGCAAGTTGAGCGGATGGAGAGCACTGTGATGGGGAGCCTTTTATACGCCTCAAAACCTTCCTCCTGGAAATGAGACATTCTTCAGCAATTCTGACTTCACCGTTTATCACCCGGTCTATGCATTTTACGTCTCTTCCGGTATTTAATCTTTGCCTCTTTCCATTCGCTCACCCCCTATGTTTTGCACCATAATTAGCTGTGCACATAAGGTGCAGGTGTAAATTTTCTCATGAATTTGCATTACGGGGAACTGGAGGAGCCTATAAGGTATTCGTATCCGCTTCCTAAGGAATGACCTTGAGATGCTTAACAATTTGCCTCGGGGAGGCCTGGAGCAGTGGGAGAACCGTGACTGGAACTCGGGAATGTCACTGCTCATTTGCCTTCTCTTTGCATGGCTGGGACTTTGGGGGACAAGTGGAAACTATTGGCAAATGCAGATCCTTTTATTCCTCCTCTCTGAGGTGGTTGTATGGCCAGAGTTAAGACTGAATAATTTCTCCTTTCTTGGACTTGTGCTGCTGCTTATCCTTCCATTTCCATCCATGCAAGGGAAGACTGAGTCTATATCAAGCAGCTTTCCAAGCAGCAGACGCAAATTCCAGCTTTTCTCTGGTTGGGATGGGGAAGGAACCATGGCTATGGGCAGGGCTAGGCCTGGCCTGTGTAAGGAGAAGGAAGCTTTGATGGAGTTTTCATTTGATGAGGGACGACATCAATATAAGAAAGGATCTTGAAGATACTTACACAGCATTTATTTGTGCTCATTAAAGGTGCCATCATGTCCAGCAGATCCCCACTGTGAGGCTGGTGGCAGGTGATCCAAGGTGGCCGGGCCACGTAGGTTCTCCCAGGACGTGAATATGCTCTCCCATGGCATTGAGTGTCTCTCCTGGAATTTCCCCAGGGGAACTTTGTTCCGGTCACACGATAGTAGACAGATACCTGCCTGCAGAAGGCAACGTCCTCCTTGTGTAACCCTTCAGACATGCAGGCCATCCAATAAGTCATTTATTTCTTTTCTTTTTTTTTTTTAAATCAGATTTGATTGTCAGAATTTTGGTTAAAATGATGTCTGGATAGAAATGAATATGAACCTGCGAGGCTGTTGGTAATCACGGTCTTATGTTGATGCTGTGGCGACCCTGGGATTTAAGGTGTTGGATTCCTAGATTCCTCCTCTGCAACACACTGTGCCTTTGCCAACATCCATGGTCAAGTGAATTTGGGAATGGCCATGTTTTCTGAAGGGAGGAAGCTGTGATCCCTGCTCTTTCAGCATGTGCTGAAGTTAATATCCACAAGATTTCCTTAACAGAGTATATTTCTGTGGAATGGCCATGTTTTCTGAAGGGAGGAAGCTGTGATCCCTGCTCTTTCAGCATGTGCTGAAGTTAATATCCACAAGATTTCCTTAACAGAATATATTTCTGTTACAGTGTGGTATAGGGAACACTTCTGCTAGTTTAGTGAAACTTATTTGCTTATTAATCAAAGGTCTGAATAATCTTTTTATTAGAATCGTAGTAGAGAAGATTATTTAAATCCAGACTTCGTGTACGCTCCGAAGGTTAGTTAGAGGGAAGCAATCAAGAGAGTGCCCAAGGCATTTTCCTTAGACCTGCAATTCACAAATGTGTCCTGAATTTTAATAGCAAAGTAAGTCCCGGCCAGGTAGAGAGGCTTTGTTGACTCATGAGTTTGCTATTTTAAGAATGAAGCTTTTAAGTTTTATTTTAGTGCCTGGGTTTCATTCTGATGGTTGTAATGCAGGA